AATTTTGAACATTTAATATGTAATTATGATAGACTTATCATGATATGTTCTTCATATGAAAGTAATTTATCCATATTACTACCATAAGAATTACATATGACATTTACGAATATATATATATATATATATATATATATATATATATATATATATATATATATTATGATTTGTTTAACATGTATATGCACCTATGTATGTTATAAATTTATAATTAAATATCTTTATGTTTAATAATTGAAGGGATTCAAATGATGCATCAAAATCAATTATTTAGAAGAATATAATAATAATAATAATAATAATAATAATAATAATAATAATAATAATAATAATAATAAATATACATTTCCAAGTACCGTATTCATTTGAAACTCACACTACAACTCAAGAGTTTTCTAATTCATGTATATTTATTAGTTAAAACTCAAGAGTTTTTAACTTATGATTATTAATTAGTAATCACTAATAAGTTTTTATTTTCCTTTCTTTTATAAGGTTGTAAAGTTTTGCTCATTAAAAACATTAATGTATTTGAAGAGATTTATGATTTAAATATGAAGAGTTAATATAAATGTTATAATATATGTTTTAGTGTTTTTATGTTATTAAAAGTTATAGTGTTTATTTTTCATATTTTTTTATTATTCGTTGTATATATATCTTTTTTAATACAAATGTTATAATAGATGTTTTTCTATTTTTATGTTACTAAAAGTTGCAGTTCATATTTTGTTCATACGTTTTATTACCCGTTATATTATCATTCATTTGATATATAATTTACATAATTTTAAACGGTTTATAAAATTATCAAATAATTGTATATATCACAATGGCTTAAAAGTTAAACTATAATGTTTAACAAAACTAATATGTTAACTATATGTTTGCTTTACTACTAACATTTTGTTTCAAAGTAAAAATATTAAATAATAATTTGGTAAAAGTTATTATTTTAACTATATAATTCTATTCTCGCGCAACGCGTGGGGATTCGCCTAGTTAACAATATAAAAGGTTGTCATTCATTGATGGTGGCACTAAGGATTAGAGATAAGGCAAGGAACGGTGGTGGTGATCAGTGCCATGGCGCACTGGTGGTGGTGGTCATAACATCTATTGCTTCAAATCGAAACAGGAAATCAGTGAGAGAAATAGGGGGAGAGAATGGCGAAATTGGGGATTACGTTTTTGAATTTGTAGCTTCAAAAAACGATAAATAGGGGCAGATGAGGGAGAAATTCAAATCCCCTTATTATCAGATCTCTCCTCAAATTACGCTAAATGAAAACCGGGATAAGAAAAGCGATAAGAAAATTATGCATTAAGTAGCGGTACCTTGTGCATTAAAGCTCTTAGGGATTCAAGTTTGAATGTACCTATAACACACTAGTAATTCTTATATTGATTTTTTTACTTATTGACCAAATAAATAAGATTCAGTATAATGATTGTAAATAGAACAATAAAGTCTGTACGACTTAAAATTCAGCATTTTGAACAAATATATGTTATAAGGTAACACATATTTTTATCTTATAAACTGAAATGGAATAGTGGTCCGGGACCCCCGTGCCCCACATAGGTCCGCCCTTGATATTAATTGACCATCCATTCTAACCTATTGCAACATCAACTAATGAAGAAACAATGGTTCCTCCTTCACAATAAGTAATCCCGCCCAATCTCTAATCGTTGTAATGCGAAATAAGTCTAGTCTCTACCGACATTTAGACATATCATATCTCTAACTTTACCGACATTTACCTTTGTATTCACAAACCCTTTATATGACCGCAACCCATGTTACATTAACAAACAAATTTTACACACAAGCAAGTAAATAAAAGAATTAAAACTTATATGGAAAAGAACAAATTAAAAAAAGACAAAACTTCAAAAATGGTCCTTGTGGTTTCTGAAAGTATCAAATTAGTCCCTAAGTTCAAAAAACCTCACAGATGGTCCCTGTAGTTTCAAAACTTTTAACAAATGGTCCTTCCACCTAACTCCGTCAGCTTTCTACCGTTAAGTGAGGGACATTTTCGTCATTTCAATATACAGGGACCATTTATGAGGTTTTCTCTCTCTCTCTCTCTCTATATATATATATATATATATATATATATATATAATTATTTAATTAAAGGGCCCCACTCTCTCTCTCTCTCTCTCTCTCTCTCTCTCCATATGCAGTTGTGCACCGATCCTCCTCAGCTTCATTCTCTCTTCTCTCTTCTTCATCTTCTTCGTGGCTTTCCCATATCATCTTTCTCTCTCTGATAATCACTAGCAATATCATCCTCCACAAATGCTCAAATTCCTTCACCCTTTCATAGATTATTAAACCATACCCCTTTCCCCCCTCCCCAATCAGTGGATTTAAGATCTACAGAAAAGAATTTGAAGAAGAAAAAAATGGAACGAGATTACCTACAGCAAGATTACACCTTCTTTAATGGCGGCAATTCCACTTCCGCCTCCACTGTTGCCGCCCTCTGCTTTTGGTTTTTCAAATATGATCGAAAAATCGAAGCTATGAGATGAGGTTGAAGAGCAACCAAATCTCTTTCACTTCCTTCACTGGCGATTTAAACAAAGCAACTGAGATCCTCTTCCTCATTTTAACTTCCGGGTATTTACTCAACTTAAATCCATTTTTCTCAATTTGATTTCTATTTTATTTTGTGGATTTTTGACTATTCGAGCTAACTCCAAGCACGAACAGCGATTGATCGGTAACTATCTATGGTTTTTTAAACAAGAAAATTCCAGAGTATTTTGGGAAGGGTAAGAACGATAATGTCATAAGATGAAGACATAATTTGTGGTGATATATCACTATGGAGATTTAGGGGAGAAATTGACAAAGTTGAGGTAGCGTCTGCATTACCAAAAACAGAGAGAGTTTGGTGGTTCATCGAGATACACATGAACCCGGTTTTGGAATCGATTAAAGAGGATGGAGATGTGGGGGCTAGTTCATCCAAATGACATGATTTTGAAGTTTGTGGATTAATCCATGGACCAGATTTGCAACATGGAGAGAAATGAACATGATTTTTGACCCAACCCACCTTGTTTCCCTTCAAATCTTCAATTGCAGGTCTAAAATCAAAAGGAACAAAATCAGAAGCGAGAATAGAAAGTGAAAAGAGAAATGGGTCAGTAAAAATGTGTAAATTGTTCTTTAAAGGTAGCTCAACCACTTCATCTTCTTTATGGTTTCCAAGCTTTACAATCGGTGGGGAAATCACGATCAATTGCCCCGGCGAGGTTTCTGCAACCATCAGAACTTACTTGAACTTTTGAGATATCTACCACCATTGAAGCACTTCAACTAGGCTTTTTTTTTTCTCCAACTAGGTTCCAACGATCTCCAAATCAGAAGGGTAGGGTTAGAATCAATGGCTAGGTTCCAATCTGTGTAAAAATCAAATTAATGTGTTATGGAAGAACTCGAAATATTTTTGCGGTAAATGTTTTTTTGGTGTTGATTGTTAGAAAGTCAATGTGTTGATTGGGTTCTTGAGAGAGAGAGAGAGAGAGAGAGAGAGAGAGAGAGAGAGAGAGAGAAGAGAGAGAGAGAGAGAGAGAGAGAGAGAGAGAGAGAGGTGGGGCCCTTTAATTAAATAAGTATATTTTTTTCTTTTTTTTTTAAATAGAGAAAACCTCATAAATGGTCCCTGTGTATTGAAATGACGAAAATGCCCCTCATTTAACGGTAGAAAGCTGACGGAGTTAGGCGGAATGACCATTTGTTAAAAGTTTTGAAACCACAGGGACCATCTGTAAGGTTTTTTGAACTTAAGGACTAAACTTGATTTTTTGAAAACCACCAAGACCATTTTTGAAGTTTTATCTTAAAAAAAAACTACATAAATTTTCACGAGTTGATACCTACTAAAACATAAATTTCCGCAGGTCTAGAGCTACAAAAATCTGGCACCAATTGCTATGAATTCCAATTTTCGGACTATAAATATAAAATACGTAAATAGAAATAAACAATAATTGATTTATATAGATCCTCGTTGTTTTCGGCCATTCCTTTCAGAAAAAATTTATATATACTTGTGAAAAAATTAAGTTAAATGAAAAAAAAACAATCATTTATTCGTGCTTTAAACCAAATTGGCCTTAGACCCGTGACTTTTTTTTTTTTTTTTTTTTTTTTTTTTTCAGTTAATAGATAAATTTTCACGGTCAATAACTTAAAATTTATTCGTTTTTAAAAATAAAATAATTTTTTTTGTCTGAAGACACCACAATTTTTGTGGACATTTTTTAATTACTTAAAAACGATAGTCTACAAAGATTACAACTATTTTGGACATTTTCATTTTTAATTATTTTATAAAAAACTTAAAAAAAAAAAAAAAAAAAAACTACTGTCATTCTCATTTTTTTTTTAAAGTATATTTCCAATACTCTACAAAAATAAAAAGAAGTCTAAAAACTTATTTTTAAGTTGTAACCCTAATTAAACTCCTCTGGCTATTTTCTTCCCCACACTACTCACGACTCTACGAGAACACAATCACAGGTAGTTATCACCGGCCTTTCCTCCGCCTCGCTTCCCCGGTGCTTCCCATCTCGTCTCGCAGCTGCTTCAACACTGTCATCTACTGCCAGTCTCCATCGTTTCATCTCCTTTCCTCCTTCTCCTGTACTGGTCCTCTTTCTCCTTTTCTGATATTGATTAGCAATTTATAGTTTCCTCTCCCCTTTCCAGTAACGATTAGCGATTTCCGTTTGCTCCTTCTCCGACGTTGTGGTATCCGTTTTAGGGTTTTTGTAAATTAACGAAATTGATATTTGAGATGCGGTTATAGAAGGTAAAATTTCATTTGATTATTATTGTTATTATTGATTATTGCTTTACCTCCTGGGAAATGTTAAATGCATTAAAAATTGGATTTTTATCATATAAATACTTTGATGTCTACATCCTAATTTAAGTCGAGAATCAAACAGGACTTTACCAAACACTTTTCTAAATGAATTCCCCGGCGGCGGTCAATCGACCGCTCCGATTCTCTCCGGCAACCATTTTTCAGAACCCTAGAAGAATCAGAATCAGAAGCATCAGATTACCTCACCAGTTGGATGAATCGTCGTCTTGTTGTACTATATCGACTCTCACCTCCTCTAAAAGAATAGAATCTCAACACCACGGATACAGAGTTTGGAGTACTTCTCGTTTGCTGCGAAAACCTAGGGTTTCTTCAGACGATGCTCAGCCTAGTGTTCCTTTTTATGAATCTGAGGTCTCGGAGCCTAGTTTCCTTGAGTTTATTACTTCCGAGAGAGTTAAAGTTGTTGCAATGGTGGCTTTGGCGTTGGCACTCTGTAATGCAGATCGTGTTGTGATGTCTGTGGCTGTAGTTCCCTTGTCTCAGTCTCGTGGCTGGAGTCAATCCTTCGCTGGTGTTGTTCAGGTAACTCTTTCTATTGCTTCATACAATAATATAAGAATTTTGTGATTGATTTGGTTAGTGTCGTGTCTGAATAATTCACTTAATGGTTTGAGTGATTGTGTTTTCCAGTCATCATTCCTCTGGGGATATCTGATATCACCAATTGCTGGAGGAACTCTAGTGGACTATTATGGTGGCAAAGTAGTGATGGCATGTGGTGTAGCTTTATGGTCAATGGCTACATTTCTCACTCCATGGGCTGCTGAAAATTCTCTTTGGGCACTACTTAGCATGCGTGCTTTACTTGGAGTTGCAGAAGGTGTAGCACTTCCATGCATGAACAACATGATAGCAAGGTAATAACTTCATGATTCTCCATTTCCATTCACATCTTCATAACTTTACTCCGTTGTTTGTTGTCTAAATGTCTAGTGAAACTAAAAAGGCCTAGAATCTTATGAACTTTTCCCTTAGATGGTTTCCACAAACCGAAAGATCAAGAGCTGTTGGGCTTGCAATGGCTGGATTTCAACTCGGAAGTGCAATTGGACTCACACTTTCTCCTATTTTAATGTCACAAGGTGGTGTAGGAGGCCCTTTTATAATATTTGGATTATCTGGATTTCTTTGGGTTTTGGTGTGGGTGTCTGCAACTTCTAGCACACCTGAACGAAGTCCTCAGATATCAAAATACGAGTTACAATATATACAAAGCAAGAGGAAGAAATCCATCAAGGATGAAACTAGTCAAACAAAGTCAACCAAAATAATCCCACCCTTCAGACGTTTGCTCTCTAAACTCCCAACTTGGTCCCTCATTATTGCAAATTCCATGCATAGCTGGGTACATACTTTTATTATAGAGTAAATTACACGAATGGTCCTTATGGTTTAGGGTAATTTGCACGTTTGGTCCCTAACTTATTTTTTTAACTCGGAAGGTCTTTATTGTTTGTTTTTGTTACGTGTTTGGTCTCTTTCTTACCTAAAAAGACTATTTTGCCCTTGATTTTTTAATTTATTTAAATAAACACACCCCAACCCCACCCCACCCCCTCACCTTACCTTACCTACCCCACCATTTTTCCCTATTTAAATAATAGTCTTTTTTAGGTAAGACAGAGACCAAGCGCGTAACAAAAACAAACAGTAAGGACCAAACACATAACAAAAACAAACAGTAGGGGCCTTCTGAGTTAAAAAAATAAGTTATGGACCAATCGTGCAAATTACCCCAAACCATAGGGACCATTCGTGTAATATGCAATTCATTATATGTATGTTTTTACCACAGGGATTCTTTGTTATTCTTTCATGGATGCCTATTTACTTCAAAACAGTAAGTCTCAATGACAATTGACATTATATATATATATTAAAACGGTAGGTGGGGTGTATTTATTTATTTATTTCTTTAATTTATTTGGGTTACAGATTTACCATGTTGACCTTCGACAAGCAGCATGGTTTAGTGCTGTTCCATGGAGTATGATGGCATTCGTAGGTTACTTTGCTGGTGTTTTCTCTGACAATTTGATTCAAAGTGGTATGACTGTCACTTTGACTCGAAAAATCATGCAGGTGTGTAACATTAACATTAACATTAACATGAACATAAAAATAAATTCTTATCTTATCCATTTTTTGAATTTGTTTAAGGATAAAATTTAGAGCTTACATTGAATTGTTGTCACAGTCAATTGGTTTCATGGGACCTGGTTTTGCTCTTATTGGTTTAATTATGGCGAAAAGTCCGGTTGTTGCTTCTGCTTGGCTTACATTAGCAGTGGGCCTAAAATCATTTAGTCACTGTGGTTTCCTAGTCAACCTTCAGGTACCATCATCTTTTTCCAAACACAGTACAACCTGTTCTGTTCTGTTAACTAAAACACAGTACAACCTGTTCTGTTAACTGACTTGACTTACGTATCTTGTTTTGTTTGAGTAGGAAATTGCTCCACAGTATTCGGGTGTTCTACATGGTAAGAGACCTACGTAATCTAGAAAATTGATGACATAATTATTTGAGAAAAAAATTTAAGCGATTTTTGTTGTATAGGTATGTCAAATACTGCAGGGACATTGGCTGCTATAATTGGGACAGTTGGGGCTGGTTTTTTTGTTGAGTTGGTGGGTTCTTTTCAGGGCTTTCTGTTGCTTACGTCATTTTTGTATTTCTCAGCTGCTTTGTTTTGGAATATCTATTCCACTGGTGAAAGGGTGAATTTTGATGAAGCTACTTAATTAGCTCCTTTTTTGGGGGGACGTAATCATGTTGTAGATATGATGTTTTCTATGTGGTTATGTAAGATCAATGTAACATCTTTGTAGTTTATACATGTGAATCGAGAAGGAATTGTGATTACAATTTACAAACATGTTAGGCCTTCATTTCTCATCTCCATTCAGATACTATTATCCTTGATTGGACACTCTTGAAATTGAATTTTTGGTTCTCCTTTCAGGCATATTTTATAATTTATATGATAAGAATGATTATGTCTTTTGTACAAATTAAAGATCAATAGCGAGTCTTGTTCCACTGTTTGGGGATAGAAAAGAAACAATTTTGTGGCATTGAGACTCCAATATGGAGTCAACTTTAACCTTTTAAACATGAATTATAAACTTTGTTGATGTAAGCCATAAAAATTAGGAAGAAAGCATATTAATAACAAAAAGAAACAAGATCATTATGATCTATAAAGCTTAAGATCACAAACGGATATAGTAACTATAATTTGCCTAGCTCGAGATTAAGTGAGGAAGTGATGACTGATTATGAAGATTATGCAACTTGTAATGCTTGATTGTTAAATATAAGAATTTTTTAGCGTCAACTATATAACAAAACTATAAAGATGAGATCGGATCGTATTAAGATCTTAAGATCCTAATCGGGATCCTAATATTTCACTATACATCTTGCTTTAGATAAATCCTAGTGAGATTCGGATCGTTTTTGGTTTGTATGAATCTTAAAATCGTAAAATTTTAAGATCAAGATCGGGAACTTAACAACAATGGTTAGATCATATAAATTGGTAATATCATATATGATATTAATTAAGAACCAATATTGTTACAATTAGATAGTTTTTTCAAAGTATAATGCTTTAAATTGTAATTAGGAAAAACATAAGTAGGATGCTATATAAACAACGATACTTTATCTTGTTTTATATATTTATTAAATTATCTTGTTTTATAATGTTCGTATCGGTAGGAGCGATCGTGGTTACTTTGTACTTGCAAGAAAACGTTCCAATCCATCATGATGCTACTGTTCAGATTTCATCCTTTCAATGTTGGCACAGTGTGAGATCGAAGGTATTCCGATCTATCATGATGCTCCTGTTCAAATTCCATCCTTTTGATATTGGCATATTGTGGGATCGAAGGCGTTAGAGTTAAAAATAACAACATAATTTCAATTAGTCGGGTGTTTATAACATCTTATATTTATTTTATATTCTTATATTTTGAAAAACCTATTGCATTGTATCAATTTTTATTCTTATTAGGTGATTGTAATATAAGAAATCTAGCCAATTATTATATGAAAATAGTTTGTTGTATTTGGGTACATTTTAAAAATATAATTTGTAAATTGTAATAAGAAACAAAAGTAGGATAATCAAAAATTCATTATTGCATTTAAACCCATGAATATAAACAACCTAATGCGTTGCTATTATAGATTACGAGAACATAAAGGATTGCTATTTTGGGTATAGATATGAAATTAGATTGATAGTCACTAGATTATGACCCCGCGTAAAACACGAGGAAACATATAAAAATGTACATGTAAATGTGTAAAAAATTTGGCACTATAAAAAAATAAAGTAACATAAACAGACTTAGAATTATTGCCAACATTTAAATGTTTGAAAAAAAACAAAGAAATACTTGAATATCTATAATAGTTGAAAGATCTCTTTGTAAACATAACTTTTTGTTTTATTAGTTGGACAACCTTCCTCGTAATATATGAGTACCTTCAATCCCTTTTCACTTGTGATGCGAGAAACAAAAAATATATAACTGAAAATGAGTGAAGACAAGCTTATGCAAGTATAATCCAACATTTGATAATTATTGTCATTGACTTTTGTTAGTGGCCATAACAAAATAACTACTATTGGGAATTGCCTTCGCTGAAAACAGAATGAGATTCTTTCATTAGACGGAGTTAAATTAATGCAAGATATATAAGTAGTCTCCATAAAGAATCTATCATATATGATTCAGGCTTCAATGACGTTTCTTCCAAGCCTAACAATCTATAATCTAGTACAATTGCATAGTCCTTTGGTTTGGTCGATATTACAAAGTAATATGACCGGAACACCTATTTTTAGTGTAAGTTTATGGTTGGAAATTCTAGATGCCTTAAAATCATTCAACACAGCTGAAGAGTAAATTGATTCCTCAAAAAAAACCTGGTAACTCTATATCACGTAAAGAATTTGAACTCATATGTTTTCCCTTCATCTTCCATTAATCCTAAAATGTAGTCATTGGTAGCATCAAATTCTTCATTTGTAGGGACCAAAATAGATTTATCTTGAAAATATAATTGATCGTCAAGATGATTTTCAAAGGATAGATAAATAATGGATACAACTAGGGGTGCAAACAAGCCAAGCTACTCGCGAGCTACTCGAGATCGGATCGTTAAAAGCTCGACTTGAAATCGATTTTAAACGATCCCGAGCCGAGCTCGAGCTTAATATTAAGCTCGTTTATTAAACAAGCTCGAGCTCAATCCTATGTCATTAAGCTTGATTAGGCTTGCGAGCCTAAACGAGCCTTCATATAATATAATTTAATATTAATTTTATATATTAAAATAAAAACATATTAGGGGAATTATGGATTTAGGGTATTAGTAAACGAGCTTCTTAACGAGCTCGAGCCGAGCTTAAGCTTATTTAGACATGTCAGATAAAAAATGAGTCGAGCCCGAGCCCGAGCCGAGCTTGTATAATTCTTTACGAGCTCGAGCCGAGCTCAGTACAAGGAAGCTCGAATCGAGTCGAGCTCGAGCTCGAGCCTTATATAACTTAAACGAGCTCGAGCCGAGCCTGGCCAGGCTCGGGCTCGGCTCGGCTCGTTTGCACCCCTAGATACAACTGAATGAATATGGTCACCTATAGAGCGAACAACAACATCTTCTGGAAATTCAATTTCAGCTTCACCAGCATTAGGGCCGCCAATATTACCATCACCAATTTTAACAATCCACTCATCAAATGCTTTTGTCTCATCCAAATCTTAGTTATACAACCAAAATAAATCTCATGTTTACGGTTAAACGTAAAACTATACATCACGCCGTAATTTGGACGAATATGATGCATGCATAGTATCCGAACAATTGCCACTTTGTATTGCTAGAAGAATTTGTCTAAATCCATCTCCATATAAAATGGTCTTGCCTCCAAACGATTCTTAAAGATAAATACCTATAGAGCAATGATATAATCTTTGTTGACCATATTTGATGTATAAACTTCATTGTCGTTGAATTGTTCGTTAGAGTTCACTAATACTTTTGTATTGACACGCGATATCTCTCTAGACAATGCCACATAAAGTTGGACATGCGTGAAACCGATTTTGGGAGATAAATACCTACATTTGGAATTGTTTCTCCGTAAGCTTTATTGATTGCCATCGCGAAACATAATTTGATTATAAATTGTTTTCTTATCAGCTTGAATGGTAACATGTCATCTTCATGCGGACATAGAGGAAACATTGGACCAAATCTCTAGATAGTTTATTTTGACTATTAGTGATGCAATGGTACCAAATAGTTTATTTTGATGATAAGTTTCAGACGACTATTTAGGGGCTTAAGGTTTAGAAGGGGGGGGGGTGCAATAAATATTAGCAAATTGGTTAAAAAATTAGACTTATTTATGAATGCAAATTTTCATATGTTCTTCGCAGGAACATGCTATACTTTAAAGAACACGTAATATATTGTTCTTGTATCATCTCTTATTCATATATAAATATACATTAATCCTAAAAAAATAGTTATTTTGTCAAAATATATGTTTAAAAACTAAAATAATATGTGAAATTTATTTTAAAACGGGTAGATGCTAACACTCTTTTTCGTATTATGATTATCATATATGAAAAACATAAACCATGATTACTTTTATAATTTGAGAAATTAAAACATGATTACTTTTATATATCCAACAAAATTTTCGTATAACAAAACTTTAGAACATAATTAATTGTTTAAAGATAATAATGAAATATTGAAATAAAGAATCAATTAATTGGTTGTTATCAATTAATGAAATATTGAACATAATTAGTAGTTTTTTAAGAGTATGATGTTATATATGAACTTTTTTTTTCAAAGTTTATTATTAAAAGCAATTTTTTTTTTCCAAAAAAGGTCCTAATATAAGGTTAAAAGAACATATTGTAAAATATTTATTGATCTAAATGAGCAAGAATTGAACTTTTCCATCAATACCTAATAAGGTATATAAATCATGTCTCCTTATGTCATGAATTCCAACGCCCCACAATGTGGAATCCCCTCAATCGCAGAATTCCATAACTCAAACCACATCTGGTAATAAATATGAAGAGAAACTGCAATAAAAAATAATAATTATCACCATCTTATACATATATTAGAGATTATTGGGGTATTAGATAGTGTAATAACTTACAATTAAATATAATTTTCAAATAAAACTTAGTATAAAAAACTAACCAATGTGATCAAGGGTTAAAGAAGGCATTATAACTAAAACATCAACAAAGAACTATTAGGGATGAAACATGAAACTTTAAGGAGAAACATACAAGTTTAAACTGTGAAGGATAACAAAAATCGATAAGTATAATTTTTAAGTAATTTAAACCAATATATTTTTAAAGTAATTTAAACCGGGCCGCAAGTTTATCCCAATATTGTTCCCTTAAGCATTTCATCAAACATGTAGTAGACAGGTAGACCAAACAAAATTTCCAAGTATCCAAATCATGGTCTTAAATCCTAACACATCAAAAAACAAAAAAAAAAACAAATTTGTGATTTTAACAACCAAAAGCAAAGGATATGACATACATTGTGTATGAGTTTATCGTTTATAATTTGATTTCTCAACTTATTGAACAATTCATCAAAAGTATGAAAAAAATAAGGAATCGCATAGAAAGATCTGATTCAAATTTCTAAATAACACAACTATGACAATTAATTTTCAAACCACAAAATTTGACACCTTCATAACATAAAAATCAAAATATATTTTACTTATGTTCACAAGAACCCAGATGAATTCGACCATTTCTGTTGTTTGTCAACTCCAATTTCGACCTACAAGAAATCTAAAAAAAATAAGCAACTTGAGTAATAATCATTTTCATGTTTTCACAACTTTAGCATAAATATCGATAAATAGTACAAATATTAGTTATCAAGAAATAAGCATATATGAGATAACTAA